AAGGGTTTCCTCCTCTACTCAAAAATCTTGTGCAAGTTTCTTGCACCTTGGATGTGAATTAATCTCGATGTCCTCTTTCAGCAAGGCTTCGTCGATAGTGGATCGACACCTAGCTTGTGACTTATCCTGTATATTCTCAAATCCCATTGCGAATCGGCTGAACGACTTTCGTACTGCACTCTTCCTCCTTTCTGCCTCTCCAAACTCTAAGGCAACATTACAGCCCACTCAATTTGAATTCATAAAGCAAACACAGCCGTGCATAGCCTTTGACATTGACATGCTCCCATCTGAATCCTCGCATTTTCGGAATGAAGTGGAACATTGAATATACGAGTATATGTGTATAGAAAGAAAGGGCACCGAAAGGGCAAAGTGGAACTAGTTGCCGTGTTGATTATATAACTTTCAACAACTTCTGTCCAGACGGGAAAGTAGTTAGTGATTCTGACTGCCGTACGGAAGGCTTCGGGTTCGAATTTCGGAGATGGCATGGATGTAAATTGTCTGCCCCTTCATAGGAGGTAACAATGGCCGCCTATTAGAGCGCCTCCATAATAAAATGGACACCACTTCTCGCCTTAGTAGTGAGATAAGCGTAAAATGGATAGCACCTATCATAAAAAAATAAAATATGAAAAAACTTTCAATAACTTCCTGAAACATTTCGTGGAATAGATAACACGGAGATTAGTGGCGGTAACAAGACCCAAATGTTTCAGCACAAAATATTAGAAATGCAATGAAATGTACTTTTTATTTTAAGACTATTGTTTTTAAGGAATTCCTTTTCAGTGTCCCCTTGTAAGTATAATGTTAAGCGCATCAAGCAGGAAATTGAGAGATCCGTGGTTCGTTTCCCGGCGGAAATGGTATTTAGTATATTATGGTAAAATATATTAGCGCTATCTGTTTAAGAGAAGAAGGCTTTCGTGTAAGACTTCCTGAGGGAAACCCCTTCGTATTCATGTTACATATAAGAAAAATACGAAACATTTATGCAGTAGCTCTTTCGCTGAAATTTTAATTTGAATCAAACATCAAGTATATAGCATTTTTTAGTTACTCGCCACTAGCGCATCACCTATTAAAATACAACTTTTTTTTTATGTTTCCTTTTACAAAAAGCTTAATAATAATCTCTGCATTCTCATCCGAAGCAGTATGATGGATGCTAACTTGTCTTGACTTGGAATTAGCCAAATAGTTCTCGTGGGTTTTGCAGTCGTTACTTAAGTGACAGAAAAGTAAGAAATTAAAGCATTCCTCCTGTGCTGGCCCTCTTTGTATAAGAAGCACAAAGGGTTAATATTCTCATGCGGTCTTAATAGAAATGATTAAGTATTTTATCATTAAGTATAGTTTCCTTTTTCCCCAAAATATACAAAACATATAACTATTAAATAAAGAGTAATTGAATAAAGAGAGTCAGATATTTTAAATAATAAAAAAAATTGCACAACAATGCTTCAATCACATTTTTTGAAACATATTAACAATCTATTTCTAGTTAAAAAAACAGCGAAATCTGAAAGATAAAAATCTCAGTGTTTGCTTTTGATTTTACTTTCACGGGTGAAAAAAAAACAATGCATTCAAGGCGAAGATTTCACTTTCAAGAACTAACCTAAGTATTGCTTAAAATAATAAATTACTAAATTAATTTGACATGGCTAGCTTTCTTAGGAATTTTGAGTTAAATATAGCATATAATTAGATACTAACCTCGACCAAGAAGGAATGTGTGCCAAGACACGTAGAGCAGGACCTTATCTATTCATTTGGTCTTACGGTGTTAAAATTATTCTACCTAAGGAATTTCTCGAATATTAATATGAATATGAGAGTCCAAGATTGTTAGACACGGAAATATAATTCACAATAAAATAACAAAGAGTAATGCAACGCGACCTACTTCACGTATGCATTAAACTGTGTCCTAGAAAAATTATTAAGTGCACCAGGCATTGAAAAATACCTCCAGAAATATTCATTTCAGACATGCACTTCCATTTACTTACTTTCATAAATGAGGTGAAGAATTTAATGAGAATAATTTCTACACTTTGCATGTGAGGGTTCTATGAAAATACAATCAAGTTTTTTCCGATGAATCTCGGGAATAAATATTTTAGCCTTAAAATATTCATTACGCTTTAACTAATGATTAACAAAGCATGGTGACACTCTTAATACAGATTGAATTAGGTAATTTTTACATGCTTGTAATTGACCTAATTTAAGATAGTAAGATTAGGTTTAGGCAGTAACTGTAAAACAAAAACTGGATTTTTGGTGATTAATGATCTATTGTTTCTAATTAATTAATGCATAGTATTATACTAAATTGAAGCTGTAAATTTATATTATTATTTTACGGAGCCCTTGCAACCACAGTGTTGAATTGTTTTGATAAAATTCTCTATTTCTTTTAAAATTATTGGAAATCATCGAAGTATACTTTAATAAATATACGAATCTGCAGTTTTTTGCAGCTTACTGAAATAAAAACCAAAGTAACAGGATTTGTATAAAAACACATTTTAGCCCGAAAAGACTATTAGTCCCGAAGCTCTATTTTTAGCTGATTAAATTTAAATGTTCTCCACTGTAACTGCATTGTTTCACTTTTCATTCGAGTCTGTTGCCATTCCATAAAATATCAGCTGTTTATCTTTCAAACTTAGCTGTTTGTTATTGATTAACAAATTAAGCTTTTTAAAAGCAATTGATGTATTTTTAATATTATTTCCTACTTTTTAATTAGATTGATTTCATTAAAACTGCATTTGATTCAGGATATATCTGATTAAAAACATTCAACACTTTTATAGCATGACGTTATACATTATTTTCAATTTCCAAATGCACAGAAGTTATAAAACGTTCCTGTGTACTCTTAAATGTTTATTCATCGAGTATCCTATAAAATATTTCGCTGTTCCACGTACGTCACCTAGGAAAAATATCAGCTGCAAATACAGTTTCAAATTTAATGCTAATTTTTCTCAGAGGAATATTTGTACAGGATACTAAGAATCATGAATTAGGCACGACCTTTCTTGAACATGGGAAACTAGTGTAAAAGTTTCTACATTTAAAGACTTTCATTAAAATTTCCGCCATAAAAATTGCAACATGGAAGAAATAAAAAAAAATAAACTCAGATAAATAAAATATCTATTTCAGAATATCATTATCCGGAGAGTTATTTAGCTGAGACAAAACTGGTCATTAATTTTTTGCAAATTTGTTGCGTATTTTGGATGTGACGTTTTCCTCTTTTATACCGCAGGAAATGAGGTAATGCCCTTGTTGTTTTGTATGCAAGATCTATATGGAAGTTGCTTCAAAGTGCACAGTTATATATATGTTAGTTTTGCACATATTTACTAAATAATAAACAATATTTCTGGTATTTCTCGAAATATCCTAGTTCAAGATTACTTTGGTTAAGTAAGCCATGCTCTAGTTCCACAATACTCAAGCTGGGTGCGGCGAAAGTATGCCAATGGTGCCGCGGCAATAATTAAGAAAAGTGGACTAAAAATTGTAAAATTATTAAAAAAAAGGGGATAAAAATATTTAAAACTACTGGAACTACATCAAACTGCTAAACAAAACACTACATAAATCTATTGAAATAACGAATAAAATTTTTCAAAATCTGTTTGAGATCAATAAAGATAACAGTTTAAAACAGGAATACCGTACAGGAATTTAAGAAAAATTCTGGATGCAGGTGTATTCAGAACTGAAGCAAACTAACTTTCTGAGTAAAGTTATTTGAGGGTAAAAGTAACTAAACATCCTATAAACATAAAGGAAATAATGAAAAATTCAATCAAAAAGTTTCAATCATCGTTATTAAGACAAATGGGAACTCCTCTTTTTTTCGTATTCTAACCACTTTCTAACTAACTTCACCACTTAAGAATACTGTGACACAAAGTTAGCCCAACAACGATTGCTTTGGCGAATATCTGCTCTAGCTCAAGACTTCCGTTGATATCCTGTTACAAATCAGTATTTATAAGTGCTTGTGTTCATTTTTTGTATCACTTCTTTTAATTAAGAAACTGAATTTACAAACGGCAGACGCTTCAAATTTGCTTCAAACGAGGAGAGGGAATTTAAAAACCCTGAATTTAAGGTTCTATTCGCAATTATTTACTTATACCACAGTCTAAATCTGCTAATTTCAGTTTAGTGTCATTTAGCAGTCTGTTGCTGGCTGTGAAAACCAAACTCCTTTTTTTTTTTTTTTCAAATTCTCTGTGAGATAATGCTTCAAATCTTGCAGAATTGTTTTAAATAATTAGATTTTTTTCCTCTGTCTTTGAATGAGAAGGTGTTTTTTCCCTTTGCACATACATGATTTTATATGTAGGGCAAGCAATGTCTTACATATATTTTATTCATATAAGTATTGATATAGTGTGGTTATTTATGCTATTGGTGATAATATTATGAAATTCAGTAATCAGTAACCATACTATGTTCTGGATTGGATTATTTATTTCATATCAAGCCCATTAAAGCCACCTGCCACTAATTATGCTAGAGAAAGGGAAAAGAACTGCAGTTCCAGTAGTTTTAAGAAAATATTTGTTTTAAAACTTATAAAAACAAAACGCGAAAAAAAAAACTAGGAGAATTCCTGAAAAGGAAACAATAAATAATGAATTACGTCTCACAAAAAGTGGAAAGTTTTTACTGTTTCTCATTTCTGTTTGTACTTCAAAATATATTTTGAATCAGGTAATAAACAAAATGATTGTTACGTTTGTTTAAAAATGTGAGTAAATAACAATTTATTGCATTATGTAAATTTATGTTGAGTGAATTGCTCTAATGAACGGAAGTGTTGTGTACGGAAATATACTTTGCTATGTAAGAACGGCATTTGTTTTGCGTAGGTGAATCTTGCTTTCGATGTTCAGGTCATGCATGAATTATAAATGTAGTAAACAAAAGACAAATCATTCTAGCTGCCTCAGTTTTCTGTTTCAGTTGCCCGGATCGTCGCCCGAAGCAGGTGATGGAACGCTACGAAAAGGTATCGAAGATCGGAGAGGGTTCTTACGGAGTGGTGTTCAAATGCAGGAGCAGGGAGACGGGTCAGCTAGTGGCTATTAAAAAATATGTTGAGACCGAGGACGACCCACTCATTAAGAAGATAGCCCTGAGGGAGATTCGGATGCTAAAGGTATATTTTTTATTTCATTTTGGTTAATTTCTGTCATCACCTACTGTACTCACTTATTATATTACAAATCAGAACTATTTGCTTTGCCCTATCCACATCACATCTTTCCCCCCCTTTTTTAAATATTTATCATGTGAAAATCACTTTACCCATCAAAGTAATAAAACGGCAAAAAATAAATGACTGATCAGTAAGCAATAATGTTATTTACTGAATTTTTTTCTATTGTTTCCACCTGCAAATTTCTTAGCCCAGTTTCTCAAATTGCATTACTTTTGTTTTACTTTGAATGCATGAACCTTCTGATATATTAAGCTTACTGTGTTGAATTTATTACGCAGAGGAAAGAGTTCGTTCTGCGTCTAAATTAGACCAACCAAGCTGGCTGCAGTCTTGTTGAATCTTAGTTTAACTTTATTAAGGCACTATTCCTACAATAAATAACATAGAAGTTGTAGTCCAGACATCACAGTCCAGAAGCTGTTTGCATATTTTTAGAACGATTTATATCAAGAATTAAAAAAAGCAAAAGCTTTGGAAAATCATTTCTGACAAAAGCTTATCATTTGAAATGAGAAGTAGCGTAAACACATTCTGCTTGCAAAATGTCGCATGTAAACATGTTGTGGATTGAAGGATAGGTTTTTGCGCTTTCTGAAGAGAAATATTTCCATTCCATAATTCAGAAACATAGTGAAATGCGTGGTATTAAAATTTCTAAGCACAATGGACATTATTATCGGAAAAAAAGTCGAAGAAATTTTACGTACCTCGTATTAGAATGGCGCCGACATGGATGACGCAGTTTCGACTTTGATTATACTTAATAAATTCAGTCACTCTCGGTCTATTTCAACCAAACTGAATACATTTAATAATATAACATTCACACGTAAACATTTAGTAATAATTCAGGAAGTACAGATAAGCATAAAATAATAATTACAACCGTTACAGGCCAGCTACGCTTTTAGCGACCGAATCCTACGAACGACAAATCTCAAAAGCGTGTTGCCAACGCAGGGCAACGAAAAGGTAGAAATTAATTCGATAGGGCGTGGAAGTGAACATACTCCCACCCTATCAGGTTTAGTCCTGATACACAGGCAAAGGTGAAAGTTTATTAATTCCTCTTTTGAAAACACCAGTTTTAGTTTTGACAGTGGCTACGCGAGCTAAGCCGTCCTTGCCCGGATGGACATCGATGATCCGTCCAATAGGCCAAGCTAGCGGTGGAGATCCATCTTCGATGATAAGAACCACCGTGTCGATTTTTAGATTGGGTCTGTTGTACTGCCACTTGGATCTCTGCTGAAGCGAAGTCAAGTATTCCTTTTTTCCATCGCTTCCAGAATCCCAGACGTAGATTCTGTACAAGTTCCCACCTAGAACTCCTTGTGCGTAAAGTCTGATGGGCTCTCTGGAAAGGAAGTTAAAGTATCACCTGTAATGAAATGAGAAGGGGTTAAAACATTAATACAGTCAATATCAGTATCGTTCACGTAAGTAAGTGGACGTGAATTCAAAATAGCCTCGATCTGGGTAAGTAGTGCGTTGACAACTCTTCGTAGGTTAAAAGAGTCTCTTTCAATACTCTTCTCAGATGAAATTTCGCTGAGCGAATGCCGGCTTCCCATATTCCTCCGAAGTGGGGCGAAGCAGGCGGTATAAAATGCCATTCAATAGATGACTTAGTTAGTTCTCGGGAAACCGATTCCGTTGCATACAAGGAAGACCAAATCTGATTTAGTTCTTGTAGTTTTCGGCATGCTCCCACAAAATTGGTACCGTTGTCACTGTAAATGTGCCGTGGTGCACCGCGACGTGAAATGAAACGTCTAAGTGCAGCGATAAACGAGTCTGCCGTCAGGTCACTGACTGCTTCTATATGCACAGCTTTAGTCGACAAGCAAACAAACAGAGCTATATAGCCTTTCGTTGTTTTAGAGCCACGACCCTTATTAAATTTCATGGTAATAGGACCAGCGTAATCCACACCAGATGCGTAAAAAGGTCGTTCCAAAGTCACACGATGTTCAGGTAAGTCACCCATCAATTGCGGATTTGAAGCAGCTTTAAATCGATGACATATTAAGCAATGGTTGACACAACTGCGTATCAGTTTCTTTCCTCCAATTATCCAGTAAGATTGTCTGATGAGGTGTGATAATAAAGAAGGACCAGCATGAAGGTAAGTAATATGAAGTTCTTTCACTAGTAATTCGCTAAATTTATGTCGAGAAGGAAGTATGACAGGATGTTTGATGTTAAATGCTAAAGATGAATTTCGAAGACGTCCTCCCACCCGTAAGAGACCATCTTTATCTACGAATGGATACAAAGAACGTAGTTGGCTCTTCTTGGGTAAAGGTTTCTCTTCTTTAATACATTGTAAATCATCTTTGAAATGATGATTCTGAATCCAACGAATAATGAAATTTTCTGCTACTCGAATCTCTAGAAATGTTAGCGGCATAAGGCAGCTGGAGTTAATGCCACTACGTGAAATGTTCTGAGTAACATGATGCTTCTTGCAATTAGTAATAAATCTTTGGCAGTAAGCCAGAATACGAACAATTTTACAACGCGAAGAATAATGCTCGAACAAATTAGCTAATAAATCATTCGATTCACGTATATGAGAAATAAAAATAGGATCAGATCTTTGTTCGGCCTTTACTTCAGTATCATCTTCAGATTTTAATTCATATTTCAGGCCATTTTTCCTCTTCCTGACGCAACCATGGTGGACCATTCCACCACAAAGTACAATTTGGTAGGAGTTGAGGTTCAATACCACGAGAAGCAATGTCTGCAGGATTCTGTTTAGAGGGAACATGATTCCAATGTTTAATAGGTATCACTTCTATGATTTGAGATGTTCTGTTTGCCACAAAAGTTTTCCACTTACGTGGATGAGCTGATAGCCAAGACAGAACTACCTTGGAATCCGTCCACGCAAAGATTTCAAAATCAAACTTCTTTAAAATGTTCAATAGAGATCGCATTAATCTGGTCAACAAATACGCAGCACAGAGTTCTAATCGAGGAATGGATACTTGCTTTATAGGCGCGACTTTAGTCTTTGATACCAAAAGATTAACCTTAACCGTACCATTGCACCTTTGGCGACAGTAAATGGCTGCTGCATAAGCCTGCGAAGATGCCATGAAGAAAATGCATCAGAAAATCCATGTTTGGATACACTGTGCTGCATTGTGTAAGTATGACACATCTCGGAATTTCACAATTATTGATTTGACTGAATGTCTCTTGAAATTTAAACCAATCATCTGAGATATGCTGGGGAACAACTGAATCCCAGTCGCCTTTAACTAACCATAGTTTTTGATAGAATATTTTAATCAATATAGTGCAAGGAGATAAGAGACCTAAAGGATCGAAAATGCGAGCAGATTCTGCTAATATGCGTCTTTTTGTTATAGGTGCGTTGATGTGCAGTGTAGCTTTAAAACTGAAGGTATCAGTAGTTGAATTCCAAAAAAGTCCTAAGACTTTCGAACTCGAATTAGGAGATATCTCAAAATCAGAATTCAATGAACAATGTTCCTTAAATTCAGTTAAGAATTCTACAGAATTTGAATTCCACTTCCTCAAATCAAAACCACGTGCATGTAAAATTGAAGATATTTTCTTGCAGACAAATACTGCATCATCAACTGTATTTGCACCCGACAATAAGTCGTCCATATACATATCCTCTTGCAATATACGAGATACATCTGATTCCTCTTTAGACTCTAAAGCTACCTGCTTCAGACATCGAGTTGCTAAAAATGAAGCAGAGGAAAGACCATAAGTAACTGTTTTCAACTTGTACGTGCGCATTTTATCACTGGAATTGTATCGCCAAAGTATCAATTGATAATTCTGATCTTCAGGGGCTACCATCACCTGACGATACATCTTCTCCACATCGGCTGTGAAAACAATTTTAGGAAATCGAAAATTAATCAAAATCTCAAAAATATCTCTTTGTAATTTCGGACCTACCCCTAAAAGAGAATTCAATGATATACCATTTTCAGATTTGCAGGATGCATCAAAAACTACTCTTAATTTTGTCGTTGTGCTAGAAGGTTTAATTACCGCATGATGAGGAAGATAAAACTTTTCTGTATCCGATCTGTTAGATAAATCATCATTAATCACAGTCATATGTCCTAACTGTTCATATTCACGTATGAAATCTTTATACTGTTTTTCAAATTCCGGATTATCTTTGAATTTTCGTTCCATGGAACGCAACCTAGAAATTGCTGCTGCCGGTTTTGAATCACCCAACTTCAAATGCGATTTATAAAATGGAAGTTTTACAACAAATCGCCCATCTGAATTAACAGCATGAGTGTTTTGAAAATGTGATTCACAAAATTGTTCCTCAGGTGTCAGAAATTCCTTCTTCCCAACATCGACAATATCCTCCATTTCCCAGAAACGTTTAAGTTCGTAATCAATATTTATATTATCTTCTAACTTTATGAAGTGTGCATTTGCTGTTTTTGGGCCTTCCATATTATTTCCGACCTTCCCAGCAATCACCCAACCGAAAATTGTATTTTGAGCTACAGGCTCATTTTTCGAACCATATATTTGGCCACATCTTAAAACGGAGAAAAAATAATCAGCTCCTAAAATCAAATCAATTTCTTTGGGTTGAGCAAAATTCGGATCCGCTAACGGAATAGATTTAATGTATTCTATATGCTTTACATTAATCACTTGTTCCGGCAATGGCAAAGTTAACCTATCCAAAATGTATGCGTTAACATCAATTACTTGATTATTTAACTTTGACCGAACTTTAAAATCAACAAAACCACGAGTTTTGGAAGCTGGCACTCCGCCAATTCCACGCAAAAGTAACCTTTGATTTGTTCTTTTTAATCCTAATCTTCGAACAGCTCGTTCAGAAATAAACGAACTTTCACTTCCGGAATCCAATAATAATTTAATTTCGATAGTTTCGCCACTGGATGAAAATGCGAGTGCGAGAACTGTAGGCAAAATCGCCGAGTTGCAATTTTGAATCGTATTACTGACAACTACCTGACCTTGACCCTCGCATGATTCATTCGAAATTCTCTCTGGAGTGCTTTCGTTTTCATTTGGCGCTTTTAAAAGCTGTACGTTGTTAGCTTTAATATCTTCATGCAACAAACTATTATGTGTTTTTGAATTACACAAATTACACTTTAACTGTGAATTACAGTTTTTGATTAGATGTGAATTTAAACATAAAAAAAAACACAATCCTCGTTTTTCACAAAGTTCTTTCTAGCAGTAACATCCAAATTCTTAAATTTAACGCATTTATATAACGCATGAAGTCCGTTACATTTCGAACATTTAGTATTACTAAATTTAGAATTCTGTAATGTTTTAGAACTAACATTACTACTTTTATCAACAACTTTAGCTTCCGCTTCTTTATTTATGATAATTTCGAGAGAAGAACACCTTAAATTTAAAAATTCAAAAAATGATTCCAATGTAGGAAAATCATCTTCCGCTGTTTTCTGTGCCCATAACTTTCGAGTTTCTGAATCTACCTTTTGAAGCAACATAAATATTAACCATGGATCCCTAGAAGTTGCTTTGTCACCAAGAGCTTTTAAACCTCTGATAACTTCATCGGAAGTATCAGCTAATTGCCGTAAATTAACATTATCAACCTGTGAAATACATTTTTGATCCATAAATGTTTTAATTAACGATTGTACGATTTGTTTCTTTTTATCGTACCTAGCGAGCAATTTTGCCCATGCTTCTTCATAAGAATTATTTGATAACGGAATATGTTTAATTATAGAAGCTGGTTCATCAGCAAGTGATCCGATTAAATACTGAAATTTCTGTATATTCGATAAAGAAGTATTATGCACTGTTGCAACAAACAAATCTTTAAAATTCATCCAGTCATTAAAGTTACCCGAAAAAATAGGAATATTCAACTTAGGTAACTTAAAGTTACTAATATTAGAATTTCCTGTAACATTTGGCACATTAGCCACATTTAATACATCTAATAAATTTTGATACTGAAGTTTCAAACTAAAATACTTCGATTCAAAATCTTCAATTTCTGACTGTTCTTCTGGTAATTGGGCATCAAATTTATCAAAATCTGAATAAATCCTTTCTAAGCGCTCCAGATGCAAAATTACTTCATTTTTAGATAAATCGGAAGAAATAGTATTCTGAAGCCTTGTGAAGGCCGCTTTTGCCCTACCACGCAATCTAATGACAGTAGCTTGATCCATAATAAGTAATCGAAGTATTCAAGTTCAAAATCAAAATCAATACAAAATAGATATAAAACTTCAAGAATCAAATTTAGATGTAAATCGAACTAAAAAATAATCACTTATCTGTACTTGAACTGCTGACGAATTCTTGATCTGATCTCGCCGCCGTGCCTCCAAAAATGATGTTTACGTACCTCGTATTAGAATGGCGCCGACATGGATGACGCAGTTTCGACTTTAAATTATACTTAATAAATTCAGTCACTCTCGGTCTATTTCAACCAAACTGAATACATTTAATAATATAACATTCACACGTAAACATTTAGTAATAATTCAGGAGTACAGATAAGCATAAAATAATAATTACAACCGTTACAGGCCAGCTACGCTTTTAGCGACCGAATCCTACGAACGACAAATCTCAAAAGCGTGTTGCCAACGCAGGGCAACGAAAAGGTAGAAATAACAGGATGGAATGTAGTCATTTTTTGAAAGAACTGAAACGGGCCCGAAAACAGAAGTTTCCAACATTCAAAATTGGATTAGTTACATAAATGCCGGTCAGCACTCACAGGAGGCGTTAAAGAGAAATACCTTATATACTCCCTTTTTAAAGGGCGACTAGGGTTTAGGGGGACCTAGTCGCCAAATCCTGGGTGTGGGAGAATCATCATCCACAACCCTTTTAGTTCGGGACGCACTGTAGAGTCATTAGGATATTTTTTGGGGCCGGAGAGATGAAAAATTAATTAACGCCTTCGCCGGGAATCGAACCACGGACCTCTGGAATACCGGGCCAGCGTGCAGAACCACTACACCACGAAGGACGCTTGGAAAGCGGGAGAAATACCTTCTACATGGAGAAAAGTCTCCAAACTAATCTCTGACAAAGGTACGTACTGTTTCTACTGTTAAATCTTTGATAAGAAAACAAAATCCACTGACGTAGAAATCAGTTGTGAAATCTTTAAACACATCTGCATCAACAAAAAATAAAATAATAAACCAAAATTTACGATTTTATAAAACTAAAAAATATAATGTCCACCAGCTTTTGCAAAGGCATGTGGCTCAACGCAAAACATAGAACCCTGTATGAAAACTATTCAGCTGGAACTAAATGAAAATACACTGTGACCCTTGACGAAGCACGGGTTTACCTAAATCATATTATTATGGGAAAGGAAAATAAATTATTGTACAAACCTGGTTTCGTTAATGCAAAGCAAATTTCAACAAGGAGTTTATGATTCTCGTAGGATTCTCTTACTATGGGAAATTAAAAATACGAGGAGTGGAAAAAAATTTTAAAATCAACGTACTATCAAGAGGAAGTATTATGTCCTATATTTACAGAAGAAATTATATTTCTTTATTCCAATGACTTTCAAAGAGTGAAACTTTATCAGGACAAAGAAATCATCATATTTAGAAAAGTATCACTGCATACTTTAAAAAATTGAAGACTGCTATTCAAAAAACTTGAAAAAAATTAAGACATGTGTATTTTTTCAATGTTTTCTGCGAAGTCCCCTGATGTTTCACGGATGGACTAATTTACCTCTGATCTCTTGAAAAGAACTCTTTCTAAGCGCAAATCCACCACATTTGATGGGTTCTTGAAAATAATGAAGGAGGATGGAATTCGATAGCCCGGAAAACTTCAAGAAGAGCCCGTTGATCATTTAAATCATGTTGCAGTCTTATAGTCAGAAAAAAGGCTATGAGATCGAACATTTAAAAAATACTCTTTATATTTTAAACAACAATTAAATAGCCCCAAAAACATTCTAAAAATATCTAAACACCCTAGGTTTTATTATGTTCCTTTGCGAATTAAAATGCAGTTGGCAACAATAGCTAGTTCGTTTTTCATTGAAGTTAGAAAATGAATTAATCTGCGGCTAATATAAAGTTTTCAATTAAAAACATGAGTTATTCTTGCTGTGAATCTGTCTTTAGTAAATTATTGCTTTATAAATCAAATAGCTTAACTGATCGAATTTTTGCAAAACAAAACAACAACTTAAATCTATCTCCAACTTCACTTGTGTTTACAAAGGGAGAAGAAATTTTATTAAACTACAGTCAAAACAACAATGTATACTTCCGCTTAACTGTAGTTTCAACAACATTCCAGTACAATAATTCTGTAACTTGCCAAGGAAATGTTTTAATAATAATTGATTTTTCACTTTCTCTCTCCAAAAACCAAATACACCTTCAACACATTTTGCTAATTACACTAATGATATTTATTTTTATAAAGAAATGTCAGTCATACATAATTTATTATATTACAAATGACATTTAAAATAGATTATTACTGGTAATTTTAAAATTATTATGAACCATATTGCTTCTAGGTAGTTCATGTTTTATTCTGCTAAACAATGCACTAATATAATTTGAGAGATAAAGAGCTAAAATAAAGCTGTAAATTGCTGTTATTTTTTAAAAATATTTAAACACATATTTCCTAAACAGTTTAATTGCATTAATGATCATTGTTGTATTTAAATTTGAAAAATAAATTTAAACTTTTTACCTTCCACAGAATAAGAACAGTTCTCAAATCTGCCAACTGCCAGGCCGCATAAATGACTATTAGAGATCTCGTTGATGCATTGAAAGATATTAGATCTAAAACTTGGCTATTTTCCAAGCAGCCTGAATGATTAACTCTGTGGTGAACTAATCTAATGTAACTGACAGAAAGAATAAAAAATCTAGCTTGTAGATATTTTTAACCCCTGAATTGTTAATTTTGTTTTACTTTTCACGAAATAACAAATGCGCTAATGAATACAAATTACGTAATTGTGTATATTTTGTTTTCTACAGCAACTGAAGCATCCCAATTTGGTGAATCTTATTGAGGTATTCAGAAGAAAACGGAAACTGCACCTCGTTTTTGAATATTGCGATCACACTGTTCTAGATATTCTTGAAAAACATCCGAAAGGGTAAGCTTATTTTCCCATTTAAGTACACACAAGGAATTACTTTTCGGTTCCATATTTGTAAAGTGTTCTTTTTGTTATATGTATGAGATATTTTGTTGACTTTTCTGTCTGTTCTTTGAACCAGAGTTCCCGAAATGCTCACGAAACGGATATTATGGCAAACAATCCAAGCTATCAACTTCTGCCATCAACATAATGTAAGTATATGTAAATATTATAACACATCTCAAACTGACACAGAATTAATTCCAAGAGGAATCAGAAAGGAAATCATTTATAAAAATTCGCAGGGAAATAAAAAACTCACGCAGAAAAATATAAAGCTTTACCATTCTATTAATATTCTAAAGTATTTATAAATTTAGTTCTTAAATTGCAATTCAAGAAATCATAATAGAAGATGAGAAATGAGTATGAGTTTTAATGTCAAGCACTAAATAAATGAATAATGAGTTGCAGAACTGTGCCATCAACTTGAAAAACAATAATGCCTCTTAAAATGTTTTTGTGAAGTATGAGGATGACAGGACAATAATCTTACATGGTGAACGCCAATGAACTAAACGTATGCCTGAAATACTGGCAGTAGAGTATCGTTAATGAACTAAAAGATAAATGCAAACCTCTAGTGCCAGCAGATGGGATGGCTGAGAGGAAAGCTATTAATTAAACGGCCACCACTTCAAAGGCGAATAGATGTTACCATCTCTCATGATAATGTCGGATATTATGCTGCTTTAACGACTCAAATTACTGGACTTTGTTTGGGAAGTGTTACAGTATTCGAAATATTCCTTGAACCTTTCCTGTGCAATCTAATCTTCTGAGCTGCAGTTGGAAACAGGAACCCAATATATTTCTGTTCTGCCTAAGAACCATTTTCATCCTCTCGGCTGTTAGATACAACATTAATATTCGAACATTCTTGGCCCAGGGAACGGAGACCAAGGACATTCTTCCCTTTTCGTGCAGTGTCTAATGGTGGACCATGTAATAAAATAAAAAATAGCATTTCAGACAATGAAATTTCAATGTAGCCCTTAGAGATCAAATATAAAACAATTGACATCATTAGGGAATATTTTAAAAAACTTTCTCTTCCTCATTGCCTTCTCAACTATTTAAAACAATTATTATTTTTACCTGAGATGTTAATATATACTCTATTTTCTTGAACAATCAGCTTAAGATAGAGAATTTAAAAGAAAAAAAAAGTTTCATCATTACAGTCAAAATCGCTTATAACGAGAGCGAAGGGACCGGGATATTTGCTCGTTAGAACCGAATGTTAGTATAATACGGGTTCGTGATAAAATCATAAAAATTCCTGCATAGATTCTATATTATATACACTAATTTTGTATTTTTGTACAGTACAAAGAAGTTGGTTAATTTGCTTTGAACAGTCTTATTGTATCTTTCACGTGTTGTTGTTCGGAGAATACACATGACCCGAAAAACCTCGTCATTTGCACCCCTGGCTTCAAACAATGTTTGAAGTTCTTCTGCGCACTCAATGTTATGTTGTCTGCATACTCATTGTTATGTCGAGTTATATTGAGGCGTTTCAGCTTGAAATTCTTCCCATTCGTCGTTATCACCGTCGCTTTCAATACTTTTTTCATCTGCTTTAGTCTGAATTTCAGCTACAAAATCTCGGGATCAGGTATCTCGGACGTGATAGCATCAGCGTCAACAGATACATAATTTTCAAATTCTTCTCTGCTCATGTCCAAATTTTCCAAATTGTCTACTTCTTCTTCCTCATTTATTTACCCTTCTTGAAAAATTTCCAATCCATCCGCACGGAAGCATTTGGTAATGTATGTTGATATAATGTTTTCCCATGCATCGTTCATTAAACATATCGCTTCTTGTACTTTCACATTAGCGTTTCATATTGTTCTCATTTTTTTCTATTCTATCGAGAAGCATCAAAATTAAGTGCTTCAGGAAGTTTGATTTAAAACTTCTGATGAACCCTTGGTCCATAGGCTGGAAAACACTTAGAATATTTTTACCATGAAATTCAGTGGTAAAAATTTATTCTTGATGTTTGTAAGTCGAACGATTTTGGAATGCGCTTTACAATTGCCAACTGAAAGGAGAATTTTACGCTTCTAACTTTCATCATTCTCTCTCCAGTTTTGAAATTAATTCCGTGAAAATATCCGATGTCATCTACGCTTTCTTGCTTGTGGTCGTAATGAACAGGAAGCTCTTTTATATGCTTAAAACACCTAGGGTTTTTGAACTTGCCAATAACTAATAGTTTCTTTTTGTCACCGCCAGCCATCTTAGAACAGTCTAAAGCTGTCAATCGATTTTTGGAGAGCTGAGTCACAAAACTGTTGCTCGCTATAGCCGGGATTTACTCTTTAAAAGTGAGCTTTGTCCCCATAGACTTAAAATTGTAAACCAACAAAGTATTTCCTATATCCTTGCTATATCCAGGTTTTCGTTAAATCAGTGCTCGCTGTAAGAGAGTTCTACTATATTTTGAGGGAACTTAGAAAAGCAGTACCGAGAGAAGTTATTAAAAGAGAGCCTTTTAATCAATTTCTTGTCATTATGTAAAGAAAAACAAAACGTATATGGGATCTAATGTGTAAGAATATGCTTATTTACTCCCTTGCCTTTGTGCGTTTAAATAATAACAATATTATGTATATTAAATTATCGCCAAAATTTAGTCAAAAATCACTATTTTCTATGAAATCCTTTTTCCATAATCGTTTTTAAAGCTTTCTGTATTATTACAATACGAATTTCCTAACGTTTCTTTTGCATTAATAGACCCTAATTCCCGACACTTCTTTTAAACTCTTTTTTTTTTTCTGAACTTACTGTACTGTTCATAGAATTTCGAAGCACATGTTTTGCAGCAATTTTTGATTCTTCACTCTTTTAAAGTACAGGATATCCACCGGTGATAAATGTAATTAAAATATTGACTTCAGCTAAATTAGGATTCGAAGTATTCCAAGTACTTTATCTTCCTTGATAGCTTTTAGAGGGTTTTGACACTCTTTTTGAACCATTACGTTTTTTGCTGGTATAACTTTGACCAATAAGAGAAGCTTACTATGTTAAATTTATTAAATGTGACGAATTATTTGTTGATACTTTTGTTGAGTCATTTGGTATTTTGAAGCAGGAAAGAAAAATATTCAGCTATTTCCTCAACGAAACTCACATTCTAAATCCTCTGATCGCTAGGAGGACGTGCTTTCTTGTTACGCTACGAAGATACATAGTAAGGAAGAAGAAAAACCTTGCATTTCCCTTCCACGCACATTTAAAAGGAGACTGGAGAGAAGGGAACCCAGTCATTAAATCATGTTGGCGACGAAATATCATCCATTAACTTCTGGTTCGGGCGCCACTTCTGCGTAAAAACAAATCTCTTGGATTGTAAGATAACATAAAGTTGAGTTTGTAATTTAGAAGTCTCGTAACAGGAGACTACACAAATTTGCTTATTTAAGTTGGTTCAAATCTTAAATGGTGCATTTTAATCTAGGCTAGCAAAATGGCTAATTCCAGAATATTGAGTGGTCGAGTTAGGCAATACAAAATAAACTGCACTCTGCACTGCCAAAAGTAATATTCCTCAAACATTCAAAATCCTCACCTGAAATATTCTGCGACTTTATTAATTTGCATCCTATATTTCATTAGTTTCGCTCAAATCTCTTCCGTATTTTATAGAGATTAGGACTTTTTGAATGTATCTTTCATTTGATCCTTGTGCAACATATTACCTCATTTAGTATCTAGATTCGTTTGTGCAGAGCATATTCATTTACTGTTCTACTGACCAGTTTCTTTCTTTCTTTCTTTTCCCGAAAAACACTCTTTGTACTTTGTTATATTTGGCTCTCATAGTGGTGGTTTTTCCAACAACTTTTGATAAGTAATCCAGAACAACACCATCTTTCTGAAGTAACCCAGCGGAAAGTCTTTTTTTCCTAGAATAAAGTTGTCATATCTCATATAACAGTTTCTCAAGCTGCTTCCAATATAGTTCCCCCCTATTTCTTTTTTCAAGCTCCTTAACTACTGAAATATAATGCTGCCAATTTTGAAGTTGTCAAACTCCTTTTAATTATCCTATTTTTCCTAGTCCCCCCTATCTATCAAAAGAACATCGTGCAATTTTACAGTATTTTGAAAGCATTTGTTGCCTTTTGCATTGTCTGATCAGTATAAAAATTTTACTGTGTCGTTATTTAGTAGATAATTCTTTTAGAAGACTTACATTTGCGGTTCAAAAGGCAGTAGACATGCAACCAATCAAAATACCTAAAAGTTCATTTTTCGTTTCTGTTTATTTCACTGTTGGCAGTATGGGAGCAGATATGGAGTAAATGTTCGAACGATAGACCAAGAAAATTAACTAAAGAATAATTATAAGAAAAAAATAATTTAACAGAATACTTTAAATACTCGAATCATTCTGTAAACTATAAAGACAGTACAAAAAATACTAAAATCCCTGCTCTTTCACTAGAGTGTTACATTCAGAATATCTTATATTAGGTATCGTATGAAATTTTAACTCATAGAAATTAACTGAAAGAAATCATTCTCGACCATTTATTAGTGGTTGTAAGAGGAATCCTTAAATAAAGGACGTTTTTCCCTGGTCAAGCAGTAATATATTACCCTCCTGAGAAACTATAAATCAGAAGATTTCTCATAGTCCGAAGCTTTATGCAACTGCGTCAGAAAAGGAGAGACATCGATTCGTTGATTAAAGAAAGATACGTTAGGGAGGGGCTGTTTCCTTTCCGAAAGTTATATTTAGGTTTAAAGTATCTGTCTTCTTGTTCGAGCAACATTAAAGAAGAATTAACATTAAAGAAGAATTAAAGAAGAATGCGACATTAAAGAAGAATTGGTCACGGAATTTCCTTTTTACAATTATTTCATTGCCATAGTTGGTGATTATTCATCTATTAGAGTTATGAAATGTAATTTTGAAATTTTAACTTTTAGACATGCAATTTCAAATAAAATTACTGCTTTCTTTGCAAAATATACCGTAGAATATATGAATGGACATATTTCGATAACATGAAGTAATTTTGATAACACAAAATATACCGTAGAATATATGAATGAACATATTTCAATAACACGAAATAATTTGAGATATATAACAAAAATTTGTAGAAAAATGTTTTAACGTTTA